CACTGGTTGGTACTATATGCAGTGGCGTATCCAGGATTCATTTAACGGGGGTGTTTTAAAATTTATTAGGCTTATGGTAAGTAGAGCCTCTGCCTCCTCCACCGTATTGAATAAATAAATTCCATGTATTTATATAAAAGAAAATTATTACATTAAGACAGCATATGTAAAACCTACAAGTTGTATACAACTTAACAGTTAAACTTGAAACTATCGAGTTAATTTTTAATTTAAAAAATAACCTAAACCGTTATTTACAAAAAAATAAACACAACTACATGATGTAATTTAGAAATGCTATGGAAAATTAAATGAACATTTTATCGGAAAAATATTACCTTACGGTAACTATTTACCGATCTAACCATTTTTAACAGAATTATTTTGAACATTTTTCCGTGTAATTTCTTGAATGTAGTTGTAGGATGTAATGTAATTTAAAAGTCAACACTACTGATGCACTTAATTTGGAAGCTACACTCATTTGGATACTATTGTAAAATTTTTACAATATTGCATATTATATTGTTAAAGGCTACATCGTTGTAATGTGGTTTAAACGAGTTTTTAATTCGAGTTTTATAATATTTTGAGTGCGCGAAAAAATTAATTACCATAACAATATGCGTCGTAAAGGTAGACCCGAAATTACATCATACATTTAAATGGGTTCCTATAATGCAAGTAAAATTACGACTTTTCGCTCTTGTTCGTATCATTGTTTGTTATTATATTTCGAGAATTTACCGTACACAGGAAACCAAAAGAGAAACGTGTAAAAAATGTTAATTCTACGTACAGTATGGTTTTCGATTTTGATTTTTTAATGAACCAGCTGGCTCTACGCCTGAAAAAGTACATTAGTAATTTGTGTTTATTGGATATTTTCCGTTAGACAACGTTCTATATCTATATTTTATAACTTTAGTATTTATAAAATAATATAGGTAATATCGTATTCTTATAGGTTTGCACTGAACATATATTTGCACTGAAATTTATCAAAAGACATTTTTTTTTTTTTTTTTTTTGTAATAAATGATTAATAAATATAAAATATCTACCTCCAATAAGATTTAAAAAAAATAAAAATCACTAATACTTTTCATGGGATAATGTGGTTTAATAAAAAAAAAAAAATAATAATAAATTAGTACGAGTAGGTTAGGTAAAATAAAATAAAGCAATATACGAGTAGGTAATAAATGAAATTTAATATAATGTTTTATTTTCCTTTCGGTCCCAAATTAAAAAAAAAATGTTGACATTTTTTATTTCTTCTATTTTTTATTTGAATAATATTTGAAAAAGATACAAAATTATTTTCAGATGATTTTGATCATCTGAACCAAAAATATTGCATTGCACATTACAATGTGCAATGGGAAAATACGGTACTACTTCTGTGATCATTTCAATGTATATTGGGCTCATAAGGAAAAGTATTAATGTAGATTCAGATGTGCAGTGAGTTTAATTGAAATATATTTCATAACAATACATATATAAAGAAAATATAACTAATTGAGTTTAAAGCAATTAAAACAATTTTTGTAATAACAAATTAAAAAAATAACATTATTAACGTAATTATCACTCTTTTAATATAACAATAAACAACTGTTATAACTATAAATTACAAAACAAAAACATTTTGAAATAAAATAAAATAATAATAATAATATAATAATAAATTATTGACTAAATTTTCAATTTCACAATCAAATAAACACCGACGAGCCATTTTTTTTTTTTTTTTTTTGTTTATATATTCAAAAATAAAAAGACGAACGAACAGACGAAAACGAGATTAAAAATCCTAGTATGCAATGCGGGGTTATGATAAAATGGCTAACGGATAACAATTCAAAACAAACACAAATATCATCGGCGCGCCCAATGGTCATCTCAATGTGCACAACTTTGGCGCGTTTTTACAACGTGTTTATAAATAAGAGCCAGATGATCGAGTAAATTGATTTGTCCAATACTTTACGATGTAAAAAAAATCCCGTAATTTTAGTTAGAGCCATCTCGTGATTAACTTATTAAACACTATCAGTTTTGACCAGTTAATCATGTGGTAAAATAAATTGTTAAAATTAATGTTAAATACCACATTTGGGGTAACATAAACGTAATTTTTGATTGTAAAACATATTATACTTTCATTATATATCATTATCAAATTATGATAATTTACCATCAAATATATATTATAAGAAAATGATGTGCACATTGAAATGTGCAAGGGGACTGAAAAGGTTAATAAAAGCAAATTAAACAAAAAAATAAATAAATAAATAGAAGTTAAAAATATAAATTAAAAAATTATTGAATTATTTGGAGAAGTCCGGTTTTGTGCAACTACATTAAGAGAGAAATATAAATTTGCATTAAGAAATGAAGACCATAATATTATAAGTATAATTGTGTACCAATAATAAGCGAGAAAACTATTTTGTACATTATATTCAGTCTAAAATTTTGATTATAATCTCAAGTATGAACTATTAGTTGATTTTCAATTAATTAAATTTCTATAACAGTAATTAATACGTGTTTGATATATTTTACCATATGATGGATTATATATAAAATAACTGCATATATAAGTCTAGTAGTACCTAACGCACATAAAACCAATCGATTACACTGTAAGTAATTCATGGTTTAATAGAACCGAATGCAATATCGTGGAAGCGATATATCTTTAAAACATTCTTTGCATAGAAGCTGCGTGAAAAATCCGTTTAATTTATCGTTATCTCGATTCTTATATAGGTACTAAGTGATATAATGTATGTGTTTGTGTGCACGTACGTGATTAAAATATTAACTGATGATAAATATAGTAGTATGTAATATGTTTTTATTAAACGGTAATTATAAGTATTTATTAAATACTACAAACATTATTTTTATTCTTCAATGCGTGGTGTATATATACTATAATATATTTTATTTATATGTGAATAATTACTCAACAACTATATACCTGTAAAAATATATATATTTTAAACATCACATTATTTCGTTTCAATTAGCAAATAATATAGTTCCTATACATACTTAGGTATCTGTCCAAAAATTTTTTCACGGTACAAGGCGCAATTGGTAAGTTTTTGTTAATTTACATGGACGAAAATAAAAAGAAGGCTGTATTATATTTGATACTCAAGTCGATTTTGGCAAGTTAAGTGAAATTGATAGGACAGTCAACTTGTTAACTTTTTGATTTTACCAGTTAGAAACTTTCAATTCTTTAAACATATTATTGCTCACCGACCAAAATTAATTATTATTAATTAATGTCCAAATAAGTAAATTGAGAACATTTATAATTTAACAAGAATCTCGAATCTATTCACATTTATAGTTACATGTATAATTCTTTATAATTTATTTACACGCATTTTTCCGCCATGAAAAATTAATATTTTTGTTCAACGCGAAAACTTGACATTATTTAATTAAGTTACTTTTCACAAGCTATCGTTTTAAGAAATAAAAACTCGACAACCATAAATCAAAATATTTCTTTATATATTTATGCTAAGTTTTTTTATCACAAAATGTAACTTGTGCATCGGAAAAATATGAGTTTCACATTGAATTATTTTACGTCTACGATGATGAATCTCATTTCAATTCCTTTTTTTTTTTTAACGACACTCCTCAATTTTTAGCTGCACATTTGATTCTCGGTACTCAGACTGCTACATACAGTATTATGAATAAGTACAAGTGACAATATTTTTTTTCTTATTAAAAAATAACTTAGTTTTTCAGTTAATCGTTTATGTATATGTTTCTGATGGTTCACAAATTCATAAAAATTATATTCGAAACGGTTGCGTATTAAAATTTAATCTTAAAACAAGCCAAGTTGTATACGGGAATGAGCGAGAGTTATACATGAGCTGGCATTATGCGATACATGTATTATAAATTGCAATAAATACAAATATAAAAACTTAAGTTATAAAATGCTTGACCTAGAAACAATGTTTAAGTCGTAAATACCTTCGTGAAGGGGAAAATATACAAATATTTTTAAACGTATCGCTGTCGGTTCACTGACCCTAATCTATTAACCATAAAAACCGTATACGAGCCATATACCGTATACCGTGTACCCCACACATTCAGTTCACATTCATACAATAATATTTGAAAACTATCGAAAAACTATTATCGTAATGAGTTTAAAATCTAGATTTCGTGTAAATATTTCATAATTGAATAAAAAAGGGAATAATATTGTAATTATGGAAAATATTTGGAAATATAAAATCAATTTCCAAAACTATACATCGTTTTATATCTTATTTAAAAGTATTTCACTCAATTTTTTTTTTTTTTTTTTTGCATCTTCAATCGCATATTTTACTCAATAGTACATGAAAAAGTCATGTATAAATACTTCGAACACAATTTAAGTGTAATATCGTGCTATAAGAATATTTAAATATATTTATTAGAAAACATTTATCGACCCTCGGTTAGGTCAAATAAATATTCGGGTATAGATAGTTACAAAAGGGCCTGACAAAAGCTCTATAGATTGTGATGTATTTTTCTACGGTTATTATTATAGTTAACATGTAGTATAATAATGATTTATTTTTAACCCTTAAACCTATGATTTATTAAGTATATTAGTTTGGACACAACTTCATACGTCCCGCTAAACCTTTTTTTGACCCTTCACGACAGTTTGGCAATGTATACAGTACACACGAATATTTGTGAAAAACGTAAAAATATTTTATTAATATTTGAAATGTTACCACGAAACGTAAAAGTAGTAAATTTATCGATTAACGAGACACGAAAAGGAAGTATGTACAGCGATGTCCTGACAAGTACGCAACATGTACTTATTTGTGATAAAGAATAATAATTTGACTTTGAGTGATTATTTCTTGTCGACACACCGCGAGTGTGTGATAGTTATGAATTTGTAATGATATATTTATATATATTTATAGATGACCGTGTCATAATGAAGTGATCATGTTATGTGCTTCGAGATGCACGATAATGTCGATTTCTACCGAATGACATAATTTTTGAACTCTCGCTGCAAGCCGGACAAGGATTAAAACTTAGAAGTTATACTCATTCATATAGTGCAATAGGTCTACCAGTAGCTTTTCAACTCGTGATTCAAGTCCGGTTTTCAAGCGTCGGATTAGTGCAATGCAGGTGCGTGTTATAAAGAAGTGAATAGCCAAAATACCATTTCATAATACCATAATACCACATAATACCATTTCAATATATATTTTTTATATAATTTACTTTGCTCTATATTTACCCCAAGATAAATTATGCAGTTTTTCATTAGGTTTTAAAAATCTTCCGATTATTGAAAATTTCGAGAGTTACAGTTTCAAAGTAATATTATTTATGGATAATTATATCATGATCAACATTCAACAATTGTCTATACGATAAAAATAATAGCTGTAAAACAATATTTCTTTTCGACCAACGTACAACATAGGATCATTCCACAACTGCGCACTAGTTTTATTGTATCTATACAGAATCCCATTTTTTGTCGGTGATATTCGTTGCTGCGCACAGAAAACTACTGAAAAATGAAAGAAAACGAGGTATGTTTCCCTGGCACCAAAAATTTGAAAAACCCATCATTTTTTTACGCCATTAATTATACCATAATTTGTACTAAATCTAGGACAAAATATCGAAAAAGAAAAAATGATAAAAATCTGTATACCTGTATATAATTTTTTTTATTTAGATACATTGTTCAATTTTAAATCAAAATTAACATTATTTAATATTTTATAATATAGTCATAAAATAATATTAGTAAAAATGTCCCGTTGTAACGCACTACATAAAACTAAAGATATTATTATTATATAACACAACATATTTTTATTATTATTATTTTATAACTGTATTATAAAGTATTATTAATGCTAAATTTTATTAAAATGTGATCTAAAACTTAACAATAACGTATTCAAATAAAAAAATTATACAGGTATTAATAATACAGATTTTTATAATTTTTTTTTTATTTGGATACTTTGTCCTATATATTGGTTATTTTATCCCTGGATATTTTAACCTTGGATATTTTGTCCTTGGATATTTCGTCCCAATACCATTTGTACTAATTTGTATCACTCATTTCAGAATTTATACCAACAAATTTCCTACGGAAAAATAATAAAAATATTTTCGGAAGGGGCTACTATGGACAGAGTTAAATTGCCACTGCTATCTAAGAATTACTAACAAAACACAGTAGGTACTTATCTAAATTTCATTTACAAAATGTCCCAAAACTATTTGACAGAGGCAATAAAAATTGTCTCAACTGATCACATTATTTACGTATTTCCTATAGTAAGTATAATCTTGTATTTATGAACAAAGGATATATGATATGGTACTTGATTATTTAGTATATATAAAAATGTCTATTAGACTATTTCTATAATAAAATATGCTATGAATAAAATGTTCTCGTATTATACAGTTATAATTTATTTATTTATTATATAATTAACTCTAAATAATAAACATTGAACCATAAATTGAGAACTTTAAAACATTTTAATGAACTATTGAAGTACAATTGAATAAAATAAATAAAACCAGGTTAAAATTATTTTTCTATTTTTTTTTATAAAATTATTTCTAAATAAGCATAGAGCACCATTAAAATATAACAAACGTTATAAATAATTTTTAAGTCTTTTGAAACATTTTGGGTGGGTAGCCCACTAGGCACCCCCTCCCCTATAAACGCCACTAGTAGATAATAATAAACATAGATATTGTATAATATTAAGATTATGAGATTCCCCAGCCTCGCTTATTGGTATATTTTTCTAGGAAATAAACTGGAATAAAAATAAACAAGCAACTTGAATGCTATCGAAATTTACTATTAACTAATAAAAACTATTTAAACTTATTTTAATCTATTAATGTATAATATTATTGTATTGATTCGGATAATCGACTTAGTGCATCTCTCTATAACATTTTACACGGATAAATTATTCGTTGATTAATAAATATAAGGTCGTACCCATTGTGAGACGTATAAATAATGTTAATCAATACGATTGGAATTTTTTAAACATGCGAAAAACGTCATCGGGAGCTAAATGATAACCCGTTGTATAAGTCATATCGTGTTTTTATTTTAAACAGCCGACGTTCTTATAATTTATATAAAAAACAGTTTTCTACCAATAATGTTATTTCAAACAGTATTCACGGAATTATGCGACAATACTAGTGTTATAACTAATAATAATCACGATAGCACAACAAGCGTGTGCACCTAATGGCAGTGTCATTCGGTGAACGAATGCGTGTAAATTATTCAATTCATTGTGTCACACATATGCATTATAACAGTAAAATATAAATCACAACGTCAGCCGTTGCATATGTGTTTATGAGATATTATTATTCACATGCAACTCGGAAGTGATGTAGAATTTTTTTTTTTTTTACAAAACAATGAGTTCAGTTATCAAACAATAGTCGACTACGTGTATGTTGAACACATATTTACGCATATATATATATATATATATTTATTACATGTGACAAAAAACAAAAGTCTACGTGTAATAGATGGAAAAAAATTTCTCTGTGACTTCGTTAGTTTCGTTCTAATCTATAAGGCGCGTAAATAAAATGCTGTCAAATTTCGACTGATTTTTTTAAAAAAAAAAATTGTGTCACACCACTTATACATATTTATTAAAATATAATCAAAACTGTCCAACACACTGTGTCAAAATTACATATACCTATTGTAATAATGATATATTTCCACGGGTTTATGGTTTCACGATTATTATAACAACCAGTTTAGTAAAAAATACTATAAAAGATATACTTACAATAAGCAATTCAAATACAAACGTTCAAAAAATTATTTCCAACAATTTGTTTCTAACAAATATTATCGTTAAAAAACTAATAAAAGAACAATTACTCAATTAATTAGAAAAAGACTTGATTAAGTTTTTTTAATTTTACTTTATCGTAGAATTCTCAAAGTGGCTTACGACTCTAAGTTAATACATTGCAGCAGTTGATAACATTGAACATGACAATTTATTATTTAATGTAATCTATGAAAATATAACTAATTATTTTTTTCGTTCGATTTCTTTGAAGATCTATCAGTACGACTTGCAGTACACCCCCGCCAAAACGCTTGGATTACAATTATAGGTTCACTGAAAATAATTTTAATGATTAATTTAAAAATCATTTATCCATTGATTCAAAATATTGATCAGATTTTGAGCAACCGACCATCAATATAAACCTATATAGTACACTTGCATACCTCTGTAATATCAATGATTGTGGTTTTTGTTAACGATAAGCGCGTGCCATTTGTCACAAAATAGCAAAACAAAGGCTGTCGCATAAATATCTATTGGGCATTATTTTCACAGGTGCAGATGAGTAAAATTTGGGGCATATATTTGGTCTATACCTATCTCTTGGTCACCTTTTTCATATTATTCTGGACATATTTAATATATCTCGAACACAGACTAACTTTAGAAAACCATAAGTTCAATTGAGGAAATCTTTAAAATGCCACTGACATTCATAATTTATGTGTATATTTTGTATATAATATGGTCCCTAAGTTTGTGAATAATTTAATAACAGTATGATAAAGTCGAATCATAATGAATAATGATAAAATCGAATCAATCCATAGCACGTTCGTTGTGGTTTTACGTAAAATGTATCAAAAGTCGACCTATGTGATTAGAAATTATTATTGAATAAAAAAAAAGACAACGAGTAAAATATATTAAATCGATTTACCTTGTCTCTAATTCAATATACTGTTTATACTGACAAAATTAATTTTAAATTATTGTATACAAAATTATAAGGACTGTTGTGTCATTTCGTTGTTCTAACCCATTGCAATAATATTGGATTAAATAAAAATATTGGATAAAAACACCATTTACTCAGAAGTAACTCGATCATTTCACATCAAACTCTATTAGTCTGCCGCCTCGTTTATAACCGCGACATTAGTGAACGAGATCAATAAATACAATGAGCCAAAACGATATATTAGACGGAGATTTAACGAGATATAACGGTTAAATCAGGTAATAGTATTCTTGAAAACCATCTTCAAAACTCTTATTTAAAGGCCACACATATAAGTAAAACAACATAAAATTAAATTATTAAATATTGTAGTAATTTTAAATCATATTCTATCAAGAATTAAAGAGGGCAGCGGTTTTTAAAGTATCATATTCGATGAAATTCTTGATGTATCAAAACGTGTTTGGGTGTAGAAACTGATGGATGTAGCGTAATAGTATAAGAACTTCGTGGAGCTGTTAGTAAAATCATCAAAGTAGTGCCTATGCTGACAAATGCCCTTATTATAATCACTCGCTAAATAATTCTAAATCACAATCTTCACGCGTAAAAAGTACCAGGAATCTTATTGGAGTAATTAAAGAAACTGTATCATTTTTTTTTTCCATTAGCTAAAAGAACAGTTATTTTAAAAAAAATATGAAGGCCATCAATTGACTAGCTTATGTAAAACGAGATGGGTCGAGAGGCATGAAGGAGTAATGAGTTTTATGCAAGATATTCATAAAAATATTGATACATTGTTAAAAATTACATCATGGAAAGACTTAAATATTTCTGGAAAAGCTAAATCCCTAGCAACAGTATTATGTGATAGTGAAATTATTGTTCCACTTTGTAGTCTCTCTCATATGCTTAGCTACACTCTCCCACTGAGTAAATGTTTTCAAAAAAAGTCTATTGATTTACACAAAGCAGCCAATATAATGAAAGGTACACTAAATATTCTGTCAGAATGCCGAGAAAATATTTCTATACTATTTACAGAAATTTATAAATTGTCTAAAAGTATGGCTAAAACTCAAAATATTGATTTGAAAATTCCAAGGAATTGTTTAAGTCAAACTAATCGTACAAATTATCCAACCAATAATATAGAAGAATTTTATAAATTAGCCATATTTATTCCATTTTTAGATAATGCCATGAATGATTTAAAGCACGTTTTTCACAAAAAACACTAGAATGCTTCAATCTTTCATATATATTTCCTAACAAGTTTAAAAATGAAAATAAAACTTCATATTTATTAAATAAATAAATACGTATTACCACATACCGTTATGTAAATCGCAGACATCAGGGGTACGCATTATGCGCGACGTACAAAAAAAAAAAACGTCACGTAACGTGTAACATTTATGGACAAACAATGTTTATTAGTATAAAGGGCTGCATCCGAATTGGGTATCAACTATAAAATTACTACACTAGTTGGGTGTCGCATTATTTTAGGTACTACATAAGTTGGATCCCGGATTTTTACAGGCACTACACTAGTTTGGTATCAGATTTCTATAAGTACTACACTTGTTCCAGAATATTTTTTGGTAAGTACTATATTATAATAAAATTTTCCTTCCCATTTTAACAGACTTAGGACTGTACTATGATTTATTTAGACCACAGGTATGGTTAAAAATGTTTTTTATAGTTTTTTTTTTGTTTTTTTAGTTTCTTTTCCATTAATTTTTATTTATATTATATAATGATTTTAATATTTTTAATATTTTTACCAACACAATTCTAATAATTTATATTTTAATAGAAAAGAAACAAAAAACAAAAAAAAAACTATAAAACTATGGGAAATCATTTTTAACTATACCTGTGATCTAAATAGATCATAGACAGTCCTAAGTCTGTTAAAATGGGAAGGAAAATGTTAACATAATGTAAAAAATTCAGGAACTAGTGTAGTAACTATAGAAATCCGAGACCCAACTAGTGAAGTATCTATAAAAATCCGAGACCCAATTAGTACATTACCTGCGATTAGACCCTAGTACTCGAGACCCAAATCGGATGCTCCTGTATAAAGTACTTAAATACGGGGACACATGCGCAATTCAAAAATACCTTCATCAGAGCAAATTAAAACTTCCCGAATTGGATGAAACTGGACGCGAATAATATTGGAAACCCGTTTTATTGTTTTTTTATCGATTTTTTTTACTGACTATATTATTTATTTTAAATCAGGAGCGGCCAAACGGTCGATCGCGGACGATTTCAGAGTCGATCATGTTAGAATTTATTTTTAGACCACGTGCACGAAAATTAATCGTGGTGGTTATTAACAAATTGTCGATAA